AACTTTAAACATGTGATACAAACTCACCTTAAGCAGGCACAGCGGAAGCTTACAACACGTTTTAACTTCTTGTTATAGAAGAAGAAATAGAAGGACCATCTGCAGTATCATAAAATTTCAAGTTAGGAGACCAAAGGAATGCACAAATTATTCACATGAAGGGAGTCTTCAAGAATCTCACATGGCTCCCTTCTCTAAAGAGGGATCTTCTTCAAAATCTGGATAGTAACTATAAACTTCACATTCCTCCAGATTAATTACCTGCTTAAATTCATGAGTTAAAACAGCCATGTTCATGAGTTAAAACACCCATATGATCCCAAGGCGTCAGACCATGCACCAGGTGATAAAAAGTACTGCCTTACCTCATCAATAGCTCTTAGTGTCGACTCCAGAAGAGAACTTTCACCATTAATGCTAGCCCATTCCTGGTAAGGATGGACATTGACAAATGACATACAATAGCAAGGTTAACAGACACATTAAACAACAAAAAATTATATATAGACAATGAAAAATAGGTAATGCTCACAGTACATCTGGTTAAAGTCTACATCACAAACACTGAAATCTTGTATACCATGTATATTCATGTATATTGCTTGTAAGCAGGTAAGTGACAGGTATTGCAAAAGGACTGTGCATAGAGCGAGGACGAAAGCGAGATCTTAGTTAGGTGGGGCGAGATCAGGACGCTGGGAGAGGGGTTGAACATATTGAACAAAAAGAATATAGAGAGGAATAAGTTGCATGCAGGCACAAACTAAGAATACTCCACAATCAAAGCATCATAGCCAGTAGTATGACAATCAATAATAGGGTTTCCAGGTAACTCATACCGTAATACACAAGAAGTTGGTAGTCTTCCACAAAATTTGTTAATGATTATACTGAGTGTGCACGCACAATTGCAACTTTTCCTATTTCTAGGCAATAATCAGCGGTTCAGAATGGTATGGACAATTGAACAGGATTACCTGAGAATTCATTGAGTTCATCAAAGGGCATGCAAAACTACATAAAATAGCATGACTAGGTCCAAGGTCCCACAAACAGTTGGGTGGCATGACTAACATGTGCTCCAAATTTGAATGTAAGGATTCAGTAGCCATACAAAGTACATAAACCAGTATGGTAGGACTCACAAACACTAGGTTGTTAGGTATTCAAGGGAACCTAGTGAGGTACCCTAGATAGTACCAATCGTATAACAGAGATTATATTCTAAAGCGCTGAACATTTATCAAGGACTAGAGTATAACGAATTAAACTGGCCTTGAAGACTTACCTCACTCATAAAGAAGTGACAAATATTTAAGAAACCGATGACAGAAAAGCTCTGCCTCTTGTGAATATATTTAAGAACCTTCAGATTTTGTAAGAGCTTAAAGACAAATTCTTTTTTTTGTTCCCCGAATGTAAGAGCTTGAAGGCAATTATTTGACTAGGACAAATAAGCAAAAAAGATATTCACCTCCATGATAAAGAAGAGTTGAGATAAAAAGTAAGACACATCAGGCTATGATAGATGGCTTACATTGACATAAACACCACGAGGTCTTTTGTGATCATTAAAGAAATGATTGCAATCAAATTTGATGACCACACAGCATGGAGACATAATGGATACAAACGGTTCCAAGAATACAAAGTGAGGAAGAAACGATACCCTTGCTGCCTCTAACATGTAAGAATTAAATTTCAGTTCGAAATTGTCCAATGCATCCTCTCTGACAAAATGATGAGCTTGCACCGCACTGCTTTCGTGAAAAAGGAAGAATTACTACAAAAGGAGACAAACAATCTAACCAAACAAAATTGCCAACACACTCAATGGGAGGGCTTAAGAAAAGATTTCATAGGAAATGGAGAGACTTGAACTCTCAGCTCATGTAAGAGCAACGGTCTTCTAAACCGTCTGTCAAACCTTTGACACCACTTCCACAGTTTCTAATGAGAAAGGATCAAAATGTGGGTTGCCAAGTCGCCCACTAAGCTGACATTGACAGTACCCTTAAATCCTCTCCCTCTACAGACAGTTAAATGTCAATTCTCGGTAATTTCACATGAATTTTTTGTAGTATCTGACAAGAATGCAGCACTCATTTTGTAGTATCCATGCATCATAGCCCTGTTATATAAGTGACAAGGGATGTTATACCTGAAGTCATAATCTGGATACATGTGATTGAGAGTAAGAACCAGGTAAATCAATGTCTTCCGGCTGGCATAAGAAAAGACGGTGATATTTAGATAACTATTGCAAATAGTACAGGATTAATAAACGCATTTGACTATTGTTCACTACCCGTCTTTGCTAGACAAGGAAGGAGAGGATGAGAAACTTCCTGGAGACTCTGCGAGGCAATCCAAGAACTGCAATAATACATGTAAAAGTTCATTATTCTACCTATGGGCTAACGTAGCTGCTTGTACATAAAAAATGATAGTTCGCATTTTCATGATGGCAAAAAGACTACAAAGACAATAAGAGCTTCCACAGACCACTTAGCTCATTTTTGAAGCAAAGGCAAAGCGGCCGTCAGTAAATGACTGACTATATACTATTTGACATATAGAGATCTAAACTCAGAAACTCTTTGATAATATGATATAAGAAATAATACGAAAATTGTTAGGAATTGGATCAAAGAAACAGGCTTAATGCTTCAGAATAAACAAATGGCAGTAACTAATTAGTGATGCAAGTCAATGCACAAGTTCCTATGCACATTCATGACAGCAAAAAGCAGTGTTGCAAAGAAAGAAAGGAAGGTAGGTAAAGACTAGTTCATATATGTGTATGGGCATGTATCTGCATGTGCCTGGCATGTGTGTTCATTATACAGATTTGTGCATGTGTCAAACAGGACTTACGGGTAGGTAACTCTGATTCTTCAAATCTGAGGCAGACCGATTCTGGTATATGTATCCTTGTAACATAGCCGAAGGAATAGTCCAAGCATATTGAACAAATGGTGAAAGGAGTAGCCCAAGAAATGACTGAATGAGTAGTGCAATGGTTCTCCCCACCAGTGCCCAAAGAGGGCCTTGTCTTGTGGACGTTAACTGTGCGGTTCATATAGCTCGATAGAAAAGATAGAAGTCTCAATGAAAAAAGACAAGGAACGGCCAGTTGTGAAGGAGCACATTAAGGCCGCAATCATATCATTGATGAGGCTAAGACAAAAACTTTTGGGTTACACTGTTCCATTTTTTAAATTGGTTTGCTTCCACCTAAGGATTTCTTGAAATTGAACTTAAATGGGAGTTCTAGGGAAAATCCAGGACCTACTAAGGGACCATCAAGGGAAACTCCAGGACCTTCTGAGAGACCATCAAGGGAAAATCCAGGACCTACTGAGGGGCTATCAAGGGAAGATTTTGATCACTTAATCTGTTCCTCTTCACACCTGTGGCTCAAACAAGGCACTAGTCCCTGCTTGTTGGAATAAGGTGCTTAGATATGAGATGGGATGCAGTCATGAAAGAGGGAGACTCTCTTTAATGCCATTGCCTGGGGCAGTGGGAACAACGCCTGTCTTCGGCAATTACACAATGTGTTTGAAGAAAATTGGGACCGCACCAGGAATTTATGAGTGGCATTCACTCACGCATGAAGAGAAGCGAATGAAGAAGATGCACTGGCTAGAGAAGGGATGTCCAAATCAGGCTTAACAAAGACCCTGTTTCATGTTTTTCAAGGTTTCGGAGTACATTTGTAGAGTCTTCTGTGCATAGACTCTACTCTATAAATGGAGGCATGAGTCGTTACACACACTTGTACATCAATTTTTAAAATAAGGAAATCATGATGAAAGCATGTTACCAATGAGGGAGATATAAAAGTAGTCCAACCACATATATTTCTATCCAATAAACTCTTGATCATGAAATATTCATCCAATTCATACTGAAGTGTCATGTATCATAATGACATGCATCTAGTTCTCTTTATGAAGTCATTAGCAGCCAATTTCCATCTGGACTGTACTGTCCAAGACTTCAATAATCAATGACAATTCAGGTAGCTGAGAAAAAAAGGACTTCAAAAATCAATGACAACAGCCTTGCTTGTTCTAGACTAGTGAATGTTCCCATAACCCTATCTACGCCCATTCCTCTTCTGACCAATTGATCTCTCATAATTAGTAGAAGAGATAATGTTCCTAAGCAGCCTGAAGCCCTTACATATGCATTTGTTGATTTTACTTCCTTCCACTGGGACCCATTTTCCAGCTTACAGATCATGCTGACAGTTTTTAAAACTTTAGTATGACCTTCAAAAGACATACTCAATATGTTACCTATTCCCGCGACCTTTCCTTTTACTAGGAAACCGGATATAACTATATAAGCATTTCTGCAGGCAGAATCGACTTCTGCATGAACCCTGAAATTATCTGACCTAGGCATCCCTTTTAAAACATCACAAACTAAGTATATATGAAAAATCACAAACTAATTGCATATAAAATTTCTATATGAATTTCATAATTTTATAACCTTTCTCTTTTATAAAGTCATCACAAAGTTGAAGGCCTAAAGTAGGAAACCAACTGAATGGATGCATAAAATGGCCATGGCATTTCAACTGTGAGTTTTATAATCACTATTATAAAAGATAAAATCGAGATCCGACATCTATTAAAATAAATATACGATTCTATTAAGTATGATTAGATTCCTTTTTACAACTACATTTTGTACGGAAATTATAATCTATGCTTTTCTAGTAAAGCCAGTGTAACATTTAATAATATACTTAATTTTGCCAGGAGTGGAGAGATGAGGATAATGGGGAAACTCATGAGAGGATGTATCTTTCTAACAGTACCAAAATGTTTCAACAATATTTTCAACAATTAATGGACGTATTATCACTGTAACAAGTCAAAACAACATATAATCGTATGAAAAAAAAAGATGGTTTCTAATGCCCAACCATATTATTCAAAAGATTCAAAATTTTTATATGATATGCATGGAGACATATGAAGGAATGTGAAAACACACAGTGCACAGTTAAAGGAAAAGTAAATGAGTAGTCATGTATGAGAAAAATGCAATGGAAACAGCAAGTATCTGGTGTATATGGTCTCTCAAAGTAAACATGCAATAGAGGCTTAAATGCTAGGGAAGGTTTATCAAAAGACACCTAATACACCAATTTTCTAACTCATGATCATGTCTCCTTTATGGGCTTTTCTAAAATAAATCAAAAGAAATCAGTAACGTCACATATCCCTTGGGCGCTTTTTGGTAAATTTCCCTAAAAAGATCCAGGTCCACATCTATACACTAGAAACAAAAATATTTTACCCATAAATATGGTGTGCACTTCAAAAAACCCATTTTTTGCAAACATCCTCATGCATACAACAGAACAGAGTATATTACGGAAACATCAGAAACATATGCCACATAAATAAATAAAAAAAGTTCCGCTCCGTAATACATAACTAATTAAACCATGTGAATGTTTCAATCCAAAATTCCAGTGAAAATGCTGATTCATTATGCTTCAATATGAAAGTATAAATAGATGATTCAACTCATACTGGACAAAAAATCCAATTCCACACATGCTCCTACACTTTTAATAAAATTTGATAAAAATATTGATGACATAATTTTATTGAGAAGCTTTATTTCATTGCTAATTAGTAAAAAGTATTCTAACATTCAAAACCCATGAATTTGGAGAAGAACTAATTTCACGTTTAATTTCAATTTGGAAAACAGATAACAAATGTATCAGACAGATTGATTAGTTTTCAACTGATTTCTTGTAACTTTAAAGGTTAGTTTACATTGATTTGAAACGCTAGTTCTGGGATCAAGTAGAAGATAGCATATTCCAACATGATCGAGTCAATATTTCAAATGGCACAGATAGGAAAAGAGTCACAATGAGAACAACTTCGGGAAAGGTGCCACAACGAGAACAACTGCGGAACTTACAATCTAAGTGAAACCCTGGAGCAAAGGAGAGAGAGAAATTGACAATTCAAACACAATGAATTAAAGTGAGCTCTAAAAGGGAGGGTACCCAGTAATCAATCGACCAACTTTCTATAGAGTGAGTTCTAAAAGGGAGGGTACCCAGTAATCAATCGACCAACTTTCTATTAGGTAACACCCTCATAAAATGGAAAGGTTATCTAAGAAACTGGATAATGCTCCTATAGTAGCTATCATGAGTTCAGGGAACTGCAGTGACAGATGAATCAAATTTTATGTGCAAAAACATCAGTGCAAAAATGAAACAGAACTGGTGATTGGCACATTGCAAGTATCATGTGACCAATGTTGCCTAGTACAATAAATCAATAAAAAATATAGGTGCTTGAAAAATCATAAGAATTGAATAAATCTCCAGTTTTTACTGATCTCCAGCATATCCCAGTATGATCATAAGTTCATAACCGTAAGTACATATTAGATTACAATAATTATGTATAAAATGGTTGTGCACAGAAGGCCATAAACAGCATCAAACATGGAGACATTCAAAGATATACTGAATAATCACATAAAACGAGATTGAATTGAGTATATTAAATTACCTCTTTCTCCAAGCTAAGTGATAGTTTCTTATCCATCCCAGTATGTTTGCCTGGAGAGTCATGATATTTAGAACAATAAACCATGATTTTCAAGTTAGCATTTGGATTTAAAAATATAAAAAACTCACAGTAAAATCTGCCTCTCTCAGAGGTTTGAAACCTTGCACTCACATGAATACGCTTCAAGATTTCCCTTGAGGATGCACTCTCCAAGGTTTACATGACTGAGGAAAGAACTTATACTGGATGGTGTAGAAGAGTTTCAGTATAATTTACAAACTAAAATATAGCAGGAAAGCCAGTCTCAACAAATGAAATACAAATCAAATTTTACCTGTCTAAAGGAGTGTACTCCAAATACTTCATATTGGATAAGCTTTTTGAACCATAAACAGGTTAATCTTGCAACCTACGGTTCTTAAGAACTGTAAGTTTAAGAGACGACAAGAAGCAAATAATTAAAATTGTATTTGCTGAGACATTGAAAAATTCAAGATGGACAGACCACAAGAAAATAAAGCACATGTTTTTTGGGACTATATATCTGATAAAAAGGACAACAAAACCCCATCTTCAGTAGAACCAAAAGATGATGTCCTCCCCCCCCCCAAAGATCAAATAACATGAAATCATAATGATTTGATAAACAAAGTAACACATAGATTTGTTGATTAATTGGAAGTGTTTTAAGGAAGAGAATACATACGGAAAGTATTAGTAGCTCTGGTAAAATTAAATTTCCTGCTCAGTCTCTGATCCAGAAAAGTGGAAGGATTTCTTTAAGAAAACAAAATTGATAAAGAAGAGAATACATACGGAAAGTATTAGTAGCTCTGTGGTAAAATTAAATTTCCTGCTCAGTCTCTGATGCAGAAAAGTGGAAGGATTTCTTTAAGAAAACAAAAATTGATAAAGAAAAACTAGAGAGATAAAGAAAAACAGCTTTATTTGCAACTAGAGAGAGCGCCCTCTTTGAACAAATTTTGAAGTACGACCAAACACCATCTATTCCTTACAAACCAATAATAATAATAATAATAATAATAATAGTAATAATAATAATAACGACGATAGTAGTAGTAGTAGCAAGTGTTTTAAGGAAGAGAATACATACGGAAAGTATTAGTAGCTCTGTGGTAAAATTAAACTTCCTGCTCAGTCTCTGATGCAGAAAAGTGGAAGGATTTCATTTAGAAAACAAAAATTGATAAAGAAGAGAATACATACGGAAAGTATTAGTAGCTCTGTGGTAAAATTAAATTTCCTGCTCAGTCTCTGATGCAGAAAAGTGGAAGGATTTCTTTAAGAAAACAAAAATTGATAAAGAAAAACTAGAGAGATAAAGAAAAACAGCTTTATTTGCAACTAGAGAGAGCGCCCCCTTTGAACAAATTTTGAAGTACGACCAAACACCATCTATTCCTTACAAACCAATAATAATAATAATAATAATAACGACGATAGTAGTAGTAGTAGTAGCAAGTGTTTTAAGGAAGAGAATACATATGGAAATAGTAGTAGTAGTAGTAGTAGTATTGCAACCTTAAACAATCAAAGTAAGGTGCACCACCAAAATTTGTCATGGGATGCAATTTTGGTGTCGAAAATTCTTAAGATAGTGCAAGAATCTATTTTTATTTCTAATCATACAATTTTAAACTCAAAAAATGGTTCAAATCAAGCAAATCTATAAATGCATGAAAATCTTGAAAATAGAAGGTTCAAATATTGTGCTGCAAGATGTACTATTTTTAGGACTTGAAATCTATTTTTTTCTCTATTTTCATACATCTTGATGTCGAGATGATCAATTAGATGTTTTTCCAACGTGAAAACAAATTTTTGGATTTTAGAGGTGCACCTTAATTCTACATCTTAAGGTGTCAACCTTATATAAACTATTTCAATGTTTATATATATATATATATATATATATATAAGAAAATAATTGCATAAAACAAAAAAATTGTACAAGACAATAAGAAATATCAGTTACTTGTGTTATTTTATTCTTAAGATTTTCAAAATAATTCTCATTTTAATTAATACATTTTTTGAGAAATAAGTACCCATTAGCTGAGAGCTTTGGCACGCATTTATTGATCCTAGATAGAGAAACAGTTCTTTTTTCACAATCAAAATTTTTGGAACCAGGAAAAAGAAATGCAACTTAAATCAAATTGGAAAACTGAAATTAGCAGACAGAGCAACCAAACCATACAACAAAAGGCCTTATGTATAATGTTGTGCTCAGAAGCTCTAAACCCGAAGGGTTGATTTTTGGCAGCAGAAGCTCTAAACACGACAGGTTGATTTTTGCCAAATAAAGTACGAGGAAAAATAGAATCGACTACAAGCAAGAAAAATAAAGTAAGAAAAAAATAAAAGAAAAAGAACACCAAAATTTACACAGAAGCTTTAAACCCGACAGGTTGATTTTTGGCAAATGAAGGACAAGGAAAAATAGAATCGACGACAAGTAAGAAAGATAAAGTAGGAAAGAAATAAAAGAAAAAGAACACCAGAATTTACGTGGTTCGTCACAGATGTAACTACATCCACAAGCGAACACAATCGATGTTTTTTCACTAAATCAAAGAAAGAAAATTACAAGGCACTTACTTGAGAGAAACCGAGAAAGAACTGTTCCTTGACCAAGGGTTAAAACTTAATAAATGTTAGGAGAGTTTCATTTGAATGTTGAAATTCAATAATAGGTGGGAGTTTTTGAGTTAGTGGTTATTAATTTGAGAGTTTCTTGACTATGGAGGTTTATAAATGTAGGATGACTATGGAGGTTTATATAAGTGAGAGTCATGTAGGGAATGGAACAAGCTTGAGAATTGAGATTGTTATCTAGGAGGATTGCCCCCTCAAAGTGGCCTGTAAGGTTTTTCCTTACTGTTTTTTAATATAATTCTGCACAGTTGTTTTTTGCTCTCTTATTTTTGGGACTTCTTACATTTTCTCTATTTTTCTGGCTCTTTCCCTCTCTACAAAACAACCAATAGATAGAGAAAAGACAACCCCCCATAAAATGGTACGTACTTGCCTCTAACCCTTTATGGACTTCTAACACCCAATATATAGACAAAGGAAACCCCCATAAGGTGGTACGTACTTGCCTCTAACCCTTTCCAACTCTATATGGAGTTCTAACTTCATCTCAAGCCCATCCTAATGTAAATAGGACTCCAAAATAAGCTTAAATACGAGTCCCAAGGAATTATTTAAAAAATAAGAAACCCATATAAGAAACAAACTAATCCCATAAAATACAGATTCAACATATAATAAATATTTACACCATAAACAAGACAATTAACACATTCTGGAACAAAATTTCGTTTTCATCACTATTCTGAACCCTATTTTAGCTATTAAAAATTGAAGTAGGATAAGAATCCGACCACCAAATCCCTTTACCACATTCATTACCAATATCCAGTTATTGCAAAATACAGATTGCAAAGTAATCGATAGTCTCTATTCAAGATTCCTTCTTTAACAAAGATGCATAGACAAATATCGCACCCATCATCAAATATTAAAGAAAAAAATAAATAGCAACAGATTCACATAGTTTCTGAGAGAAATTCAACACCATACAATTAGAAGAATCAAGAAGATAGATTGCACGGTCTCCACAAGAGACAGACAAACAACCAATCAAAGGGTTAGAGAAGAATACCAACCTGCAAACTGAATTGGGAGAAAATCCCTTCCTCTCTCTAGAATGAAAAACCCCTTTGTTTTTGGGAGAAAATCCTTTTTCTCTCTAGAGAAATCTATTCTCCACTGGAATTGAATAGGGAGAAAATCACTCTCTCTCTCTCTAAAAAAGAAAACCCGCTGTTTTCTCTCCTAAATTTAATTGTCTGAAAATCCGTTCCTCACACCTGAATGGAAAACCCCTTTAATATCTCTCCTAAAAATTGGGGATGGAGAAAGCCCCTTCCTCTTTCTCAAATGGAGAAACTTGGATCGGATCTTAAGAGGACCTGCTATCTCTTTCTAAAAACTTGGGATCATTTCTGAGGACCTGTCGGTAGCTAATAAGTCAAATAATAATTAAGAGAACGGATCATATACTCTTGTTGAAGATTCTATTCTATCCATAAAAAAGCACCTCATAATTTCCAACAAAATGCAATAAGATCCAATACGGATTATCACCATTGATTCAGTCGTTGGACGGTGAATAAAAAATTGCACCTGGCTGATGCAATTTTTTGGGGACCCGCTCATTATTGTATCGTTCCACCTACTGATGGACGGTAATAAGACCACGATCGGAAAATAACGTAAGAATATGGATCACATGTACGGTCCCAATAATCTTATTATTATT